CGCATTTTAGTTCTGTGCGTCAATAGACCTAATTTAACTAAAACTTCCAAAGCTGTTCATTTTTTAAACACTTCTGCTAGGTATGTCAGAAATAAAGTTAACAGTTAACCAATGTCGAGTTCGCGTTATTTGGATACTTTAACTACGGAGTATCAAAGTGTTCTCTGTATAGAATATACCATTAACTTTCAGTAATATCCTTTCTTTCGGACAGCACCGTCAAGCGGCTATCCAGACGTTCTAAAAGCCATTGAGATACCGATCATTAATTCCCGGCAGTGTGTAGAAATGTACAAAAGAACCAATGGCTACAGTATGCTAACAATGCTCTGTGCGGGCAACATCACGGGAGGGGTTGATTCTTGCGATGGGGACAGTGGTGGGCCGCTGGTCTGTAAGATTTCAGGTAATATTATCTGTATAGGAAACATTAGGCAACATTATATTGTGGGGAACATTCGGTAACAATAAATTGAGGGAAACTTTGGGTTAAATACTGAGGGGAACATTGGATTACATTATTTGAGGGAAACATTGGGCAACATTATATTGTGGGGAACATTCTGTAACATTGCATTGAGAAAACATTGGGTAACATCCTACAGAGGGGAAGATTGGGCAACATTATATTGAGAAGAACATTGGGCAGCATCATATTGAGGGGAACATTGGGCACCATTATATTGAGGGGAACATTGGGCACCATTATACAGAGGGGAACATTGGGCATCATTATATTGAGGGGAACATTGGGCAGCATCATATTGAGGGAAACATTGGGCACCATTATATTGGGGGGAACATTGGGCACCATTATATTGAGGGGAACATTGGGGTTAATAGATAACTTTATTTGATGAAATGACTTTTGGTTGTAAAAGGTAATTTTATTTTCTTAAGGTAAACATATGTGTGATAGGTAATATTAGTTCTAGGGAAGTTTTGGGTATGACACGGATGTTATTTATAGTGGACGTTTAGGTGTGAAAGGTAATATTATTCTTAAGGGAACAGTGGGTCTGAAAAGTAACATTCTTTATAAAGGAACTTGAGGTGAAAAGGCAATGTTGTTTATGTCGGGGGGGGGGGGGGGAGGGGCGAAGAGTAGCAGGGAAATATTAGGTGGGATAAATAATAGTATTTATAAAGAACATTCAGGGAACCGCCGTGGTGTAACTGCTAGACGCTGGCCTGCGGATTGGAAGGTCGTGGGTTCCAGTTCTGAAGGAGTGAAGCTTTTTGCTTTGGCTTCCAGGTCGACCCAGCGCTGAGTGGGTCCCAGGTGTTGACCTGTGGGCGTGAGGCTGACCACACCTTACCCCCCCCCCCCCCCCCCCCCCACTAGTACAGATTTGTCTATAAATTATAGGTCTAGTCCTATATTTTCAATAAGCACGAAAGAGTGGAAAAGGGTCTTTTACTTTGCTTCACCTATTGGGACCATTTGGTGTGAAATTTTACATTTTATAAATGGGATTTTCAGGTGTCAGTGGTAACATTGTTACCTCTATTAATGCATTTTAACATGAGTACGTCATCTTTTTTTCTAGATGAAAAGTTCAGTAAAGTTAATTTTCTTGCCTTCAGATATAAAGAGTATAGTCACTTTTTGAACACACCTCATATGATGCTGTTTGTACTAGTCTTCTGTTTGAGTATCAATGATTACTTTTTTTTTTAAACAAATCTTTCTTACTTTATAAATATCGCAGTCTTTCTTCTTCTTTGCTTATTGTGCTGTTTTGGAGCTGTTTTCCAGTGTCGTAGTTTCATAAATATGGCTAGTGCTTGTTGAATGGCTTGGGTAATTGATTTGTGTTTATCTTTTTGCAGGACCCAATTGCACGGTTTATCAATGTCTTCACGTGTCGTCTTTTTGCATTCCAACCAGACATTCTGCTGAAAAATGTCTCATATACAGTTTGGTTTGCATGCATTCTTGCTAGATGACCAAATCTCTACATTTTCTGTCTTTCAATAAAATTCAAGCAATTCGTTTTTCCAATTTTAAGAAAAAGGCAGGTATTTGTGATCAGTTCTCTCTTTGTCTTGTTGATGACCTTACAAACAGCGATAACTACTTTGATTTTAAAATATAACTGTGAAAATTTAATCACAAAAGTGTGTATGCATTTTATGTTGCAGGTGTTTACACAGTAGTTGGTATCACCTCATGGGGAATAGGATGCGCGTTGGCAAATATGCCTGGTGTTTACGCTCGAGTCTCTACCTTTATCGACTGGATAACGAAGACTGTTAGCTTCAACAGCAACACCAGGGCAGAAGAAACATTTCCACCAAAACCATAACTGTGTTATCAAGCTACTTCTGTGATACTGGTTTATTGTTTTGGACATACCAGAATTTGGCATCTGCTTATTTGAAAACAATGTTGTTGTTTTTTACGCTGTAAATTTAAATAATGCAGACAGAAATAATACTTAATAATAATAGAAATTGCCCAATTTATTGCCTGTCATATTTCGTTGCATTACGAATAGTTAAATCAACACAAAATACAGCAAACAAATGAATCCTTTGGAGGAAATGCATAAATCACGCCAAGCTGCTACGGACGTATATATACGTCTGACTGGTAGACTGCTAAAGACGTCTTCCGTTTTCTGCGTCCTTACTGCTAATGACGTATTAATATTTCTTTGACTTTTCTTACAGATTGCTAGGAACCGTAATTCTCGGGGGTGAAATAGCAATATACATTACTGTTGTGTGCAATATATGGGAAGGGAAGTTCATTATTGAACGTAAAACGTGGTGCGGTGCAGCACACATTGAACGGAGTGAAGGGAGAGAGAGAGTGAGTAACGGTGGACTCTACGACGCTGTGTAGAAGGCCTGTTCTAGTCTGGATGGTTCCAGGCTGGTCCTGCATAACCGTGTTACGCTGGCGGAAGGTGTACGGCTGTCTGTGAGTGCTGTTACAGTGGCCGCGCCAGCGTGACAGTCGCTCCTGTGGTGAGATTATTTAGATCTCAATTACGTGTCAGGCCGCAGACGGAAGGTCTGGACAAGTTTCACAATGTACTGTGCATCGGCCTGTATGATTTTGCTATGACAGTGTACCCAAGGGATGGGTGTCATGGAGGTAGACACATAATCACGAGTAGTGAGTTGGCACGAGCAGGTAATGTTTGCTCGTAGTTGACCACGGGACAGGGTGGCAGTAGAAGTAGCCCAGAGCGTCCGTAATGTGTGCTGCCCTGCCAGTAGGAATGACTGTGGCGGTGTAACGTTTTATTCTCGTGATGCCTTCCATTGTTTTGGTGTTGGAATTAGAAATACATTTAATTCTGTTTTTGACGTTCACATGTATCCGGCGTCCTAATTGCTGTTGGGCGGGAATGGTGACTTGTTATTGTAACACTATTTAACATACCATGGATACCTAGCAAGTGTGCGTTGTATCAAGCGAACATTCGCACTCGTCAATGGGGCCCGAAGCCTGTCCCGGAGAATTCATAATTGGGCACTGAAACCTGGCCTGGAGAATTCGTCATTTGGAACCAAAGCCTTGCCCACATAATTAGTCGCTGGGAGGAGATATCATCGCCTGTGTCATCGAAGTCAACCCGTGTTGCGTCACTGAGATCAAGGCCGTCAAGCGGAGACGTCGCAGTGGAGAACTTGACTTTGCTGTGATCTTTTTCTTCGAGGTCAAGCCAGGAAACCACTTACCTCAAGTCAATGAACTGTGAGACATGTAGTGACACTGAAGGAGATCAAATATGGTTTTGCAAGGATGGATGCTAGCCCTGTGTCATGTTTCTAAGCGTGTTTAATGAAGAGCGCTTATCAGCTAATATTTACAGTTGCTGTATTTCTGTGAGTGGAGCGATCGATTTCCGCTAGGCTGCTACTGAGTGTGAATTTCAGAATTGATTCACCACTATTGTTGGGATGCTGTATACATGAGGTGATGTACTTTATGGTTAACTTTCGGATTCATAAGTTTATTGCATTGTTCGCTGCATTGTGTATGCTTGGTAGCCCTATGTTTTCTTATCTTTTGATCTGTTATTCATTGTCAAAGTAGTGTGTTTAGGTCGTCCAGTTACGTTTAGTGTACGTGAATATTGTAAAGGTCTCCGTGCGTGATTAGTGTGCCATTTTATAGCATCTCGTCATACCGCGTAAAAATACTGACATGTCATTCAGCGAATTCGTTCAGATGGCTAGAGACCTAGGCCTAAATCCGATTAAATTTACCCATTAACATACAATAAAACCCTTATCACGTGCGTTTAGGAGTATTTAGATGCATTCGAAAAGTCCTGCATTCAACCCCTGTATGAATTTTTGTTTTTGTTTGTTTTAATGTAAATTTTAAATTTCGGCTTTTAGTCGTTTCGGCACTACTGATTTAAATGTAGGTGCATTCCTTTACAATACTAATTATGATGACAGTCTTAATCCGAATGTGATTATTCGAAAAACGGATAAATTGTGTGTGTACCACAGTGCAGTCAAATTTAAGAATGAAACACCGGGAATGTGTTGTTGAAAAGTTAAATTTCCAGTAACACATTCACCAACAGAACCATTATCAAAATTGGTAGCAGGTGACACAAGCCAATCGGTACATTTCTTGGCAAACATACGCAAGTACAATGTATGTTTCCAAACGACATCGTTCGATGTAACAAATGTTGTTCGTCCATCACGAGTAATTAAAACCACTTTCATCCAATGTAGCAATTAACAATGATTTTGAGTACAAAGGTGGTTGATTAGTCCAATATGAGCCAGGAAAGTTCTTGAGCCGTGCGGACAACAGTAAGTGTGGGATAAGCAGTACGATTCTTTCTAGTGGCTAGCCCACAAGACTACGAGGAAAGACTGGTGACTATCGGGAAAGTCCTTTTGACACCTTTGGAAAGACTGGCCCCCCGGTATCGCCGGGGGGATAAACTGACATCTGGAGACAGATGTCGACTGTGGACCGGGTTGATCACCCCTAACACAGTATAATACCTCCGATTGCGTTAAACCACAAAGAAATATGCTCCCAGGGCCCTCCGAAAGGGGGAGAGAATGAAGGGCCCAATCAAACTGATACCCTCGTTGACGACTTTGCTAGCCCCCGGACTGAGATACTCGCCCAACGTCCGGGCTGGCTCTGTACATGTGGGAAAAGCTTCACGGGGTTGCATGGTCTGAGAACGCATGCCGGAAGAATGAAATGCGAGGGTGCTCCACGCAGTAAACGCCGTCGCAAAACTACCACAGGGTAGAGGGCACTGTGTTTGTTCTTTAAATGCACCCACACTTCGTACAGCCCCTCCCGTTCGCTGCCCGTAGCGGCTTTGAACTGTTTTCTGAGGGCATTCTTGTCTGCCCGACACTTCAGAATGTCCCTCTGCCTCCTGCTAGTATTTTGCTTGGCACCCGGCTGTGCCTTTACTACTGTCCCGAACTCGCGGGAGCAGTGTTCATATATTACATCACCAAATTTAGTAAGCTTGTCGCCTAGCGACTTCTTGTTTAGAGTTTGTTTTAGTACCTCACATAATGTAGCCTCCAACTTACACCACACCACCTTCTCGCTCGCAGGTGGAAACCTGATCTTGGAACGCACTTCTTCAGAAATCATCAAAGGTGCTCCTCCGCAGTCGACGTCATGGGCCTCTCCGGGCGAGTGGGGTTCACCCTGCCCGTCGTTGTCCCTCACCGTTTGTATCACCATGTCTCGGCGCTCTTTGGCTGAGGCCTTTGACCACCAATTGACCTTCCCGTGCCCTAGGCCTCGACGGTCGGTTTGTGTGTAACCCATTACCTCCTTCAATTTTAGTGCGTTCTGAGCAGATTCTATCGCATCGAGGACCCTCCACTTCTGACCAGTCTTTAGAGCGGGCTGGACAGCGATGACATTTGGGTCTGAGGACTCGCGCAGAAGCATGGCGAGCCTAACTTTGCCGACTTTAAACTCTTCGGTTATAGACTTGAACGGAAGTACCAGCTTAGCCTGTTTACAATACAGAGCCACGTCGGTCAGACAAGGCGGTGCACCAATCCACTTTCTTAAGGCTGTGTTGATTTTCTTTTCCATGGCTTCCACTGCAGTCATCGTCACCTCGTAGACTGACAGTGGCCATAGGAGTTTCGGAATCAACATGAATTGGAGACACCATACCTTGAATTTCCCGACCAGCCTGCATCGCTCGATTGCGAGCAGGCCTGTAGCCAGTGACTCATGTATTCGCCGGACTTCCGCTCTGTCAGATAACTTCGAATCGCAAACGCGACCGAGACTCTTCACCGGTTCCTCCAGAACCGTAGGGATCTTGTTCCTTGCCACCGTAAAACTGGTCGCCGACACCTTGCCCTTATGGATTGACAGACTCCTCGATTTCTGCGGTTTGAACTGCATACCGCTCCATTGGACCACCGCGTCCAATCTATTCAGGATCGTGCGGGCAGACTCCTCGCTGCCCGTTATTATAGTCGTGTCATCCATAAATGCGCGCAGTGGCGGCAACCAGTGATCCCCTATTTGAAGGCCCAGTCCGTAGCCGGCCGCCCCGTCTACCACGATCTGCATTGCCATGACAAACAGTATAGATGAGATCGTACACCCCATAGCTATCCCAATCTGCAACTCAGTCCACCTCGTGGTAAACGTCGAGGTAGAGAAGCGCAAAGCGAACTTAGAGAAATATTGCTCGACCATTTGACTGATCTGTGTCGGTACGTGAAACATGCGAAGGGCTCGCCACAGTAGCCTATGGGGGACTGCCCCGTAGGCGTTGGCTAAGTCCAACCATATAACGTGCAAATCGGTTCTCTCATGCTTGGCTCTCTGGATAGCCTCCCAGATCATGGTCGCGTGTTCAAGGCACCCAGGAACGCCTGGAATACCACCCTTCTGAACACTCGTATCTATGTACTTGTTAGTCATCAGATACTGTGTGAGCCGGCGAGCCATGACTGAGAAGAATATCTTACCCTCGACATTCAACAGCGAGATGGGCCTGAATTGGGAAAGACTCTTCGAGTCCTGCTCTTTGGGAATGTAGACCCCATTTGTCTCAACAAGACGTGAAGCATTTTTAGGATTTTCGGGCAACGCTTGTAAAAAACGTACGGAACACCGTTCGGACCTGGGGCAGACTTGCCGCTGGCTCTTTTCACAACGTCCTCAACCTCAGACCAAAGGGGAGGTACCATTTTAAATGGTACCTTCGGCACCGAAGGCTGTTTGAGTCCGCTAAGGATCTCTGGATTGTCATCGAGAGGCTCTCTCCTCTTTTTATCAGAGTACATCTTACGTAGATGTAGCTCTAGTTCTTCC